AATAGGATATGGTTGGAACTAAACCTTTGTACTAAATAATCAAAATAAACTTTATTGATCTTACTTGCTCTGGAGTTCTTCCACCATCAGCTCTGAAGACACCTTTAGTTAGAGGGAAGAAAAAAGGAAAAAATATATATACAGAATAGGAATCAAAAATTCAGGAAATACTTCTTAATAATCATTTTAGAACCCACCTGTTTATCCATCTTTTTCTTAAGGTCCTCAATTTCTTGTTGAAGTGACTCATTCTCTTTCCTTGCAGTCTATATTAGGGGAAACAAATGACTTTAAGACTTCATATCAATTAAAGATTGTGGTTAGCAGGCCAACAGTATTATGCAGAGTCACTTAGGGGAAGCTGTGGTCAGATAAATGTGTTTATATGAGCCAGCATGTTTTGATTGTGTCTTTTAGAGAAAACAGATACCTTAAGCTCCTCCTCTTTGTTGGCCACCTCAATCAACCCTTTCTCCAACAGGCCCTCTACAGTTTTCATGTTTTCCTCCTTCTCCCGGACACTGTTCAAAGAATTTTGGATCATTTATTTCATAGACAGATTAAGACACTGATGTATTTAAAATGTGCTCCAGTTCTCATACCCACCTCTTCTGGAACTGGTCCAAAGCCAGCTGGGATGCAGTCTGCAAGAGGACATCCAAAAGTAGATTGTTTTAAATGAAAAACAACCTCTCAAACAAACAAACAAAAAACCCACACCAACATATAGTGGATTTTTTTTCTTAAACAGTAAAGCAAAGCAACACAACTAACCTGATCAGAAATCTGTGCCTGCAGATTCTGAATCTCTGCCTTCAGTGACATGTTCTCATTGTGCAAGGCCTGCAGATGAATACAGACGACACTTATTATGCCAAGACGGTGGAGGATCTGACATACTGTGCAATCACTTGGAAATTATAAAGAATTCCTAATTCTGTCTTAGGTTTACAATACCAGGAAGTGCATTAAATCAATTTGTCATCTGAACCCAAAATATCTGCAAATCTGAGCATGCCCTCTTCCCGTGGGGAAGAGGACTTCAAAGTACATTTCCACTATGTAGTTCCACTACATTTCCACAGCAACACATTCCTGCAAACTAATGAACCGGTACAATGTTAGTAAGAGAAGCTGTAGTGAAGTGCTCTTCTGAAAATACCTGCATGTTAGTTTCTCTACTAGCCCCACTGCTCCTCTCAGCATTTAGAGAATCCTCCAGACTTTTTCGCTGCAGCTCTTTTTCAGCCAAACTAGGCAAAAAAGGAAAACAACAACAACACAGGGAAAGATGAAATATAGCTCAGTGATACAGCCTGGAATGTGATCCACAATATCTGAGAAGATGAAATCTTTCTTACAGCTTTTGCAGCTCCTCAATGTGGGAGACATGAGTGGCCTAGATATCAAACAGAAATGTCATTAGCCTACATTCTCTCTCTCACACACACACAGAGCCATCTAGGTACTCATCCCATATTGACTTTAAATGATAAGTGTGTGAAGTTGACCCATTTACCTGCGTAGAGATCTGGACCTGAAGACTTTTGTTCTCATTCATAAGTTCCTGTTAAACACAAGTCATTAGTGAGCATTAGGTTGAGGACTATAAGATCATTCACATCCATTTTGGTATCATTCCATGTAACTACAATAACAGTTTCATTTTTCTTGCTGCAGGTTTGGCACTGCGAGTTGTGAGCACACCTGAACTCGGGCCTGGAGCGAGTCGTCCTGCATACTGTGCTTGGACATTTCCATCAGCTCCCTCACTTTCTGTTCCAGCCGGTCCTTGGAGACCACAGCTTCAGTCAGGCTGCTGTGTAGAGTCTGGATCTCCTTGTTCTTGTTGCTCATCTCAGCCTCAACTGCCAGCAGCTGATTGTGGAGCTCTGCAACCACACGACAGCCGTCACTGAGGCACCATCATTTTTTTTTAGGGTTCACAAGAATTAAAACTTTTGTTTGGTGCAATGTTATGTTTTATCACCTTGTTTGGAGGTCTGAATTTTCTCTCTTTCGGCATTGACACTGTGGATAAAGTTTTGCAGCTCCTCCCAGCGGCGCTTAGCATCCTGCAGCTGTGCCTGGAGACAGATACAAACTCTGAACACCTTCCTTCCATACATTTTCATTGGAATTGAGCGATCGTATAAATTTTGCAGAGGAAATTAAAACTTTATGAAATCCATCAGAATATCTAGAGGCTTATGTGCAGATTCTTTCTGATTTTTTTCTACACAGTGTAATTCTCGCACTAAGGCTCTTTGCCAAGACTTGTTTGTGTTGAGCCAGCAATTTAAATCTCCATTTTATGATCGTGATCTGCGACAAGTCGGGAAAGGCTCATCTGAGTGTCTAGCAAGAAAAGTGTTGTTTATACACAGCACAAAGCCTCAAACATTCCTGCTTCCAAAGGCAACAAAAATCCTTCCAGCTCAGGTTCTGTTTCCCATAACCCTCACCGGGACTTCCACTACAACCTCCTCCCATTTCCCGAGTAATGCTGCCACACCCGTTAACCAGATTTGAAGCATGACCAGGTTTTGCACAACTCGGTTCATTTTTGTCTCAGCTGGGGAAACTGAAGCACAGGCTAAATAAACACGCCGCGCATCTGGATTAGCGTACCTCCAGCTGGGACACGTTCTGCTTGTAGCTGACCTCCAGTGACTTCCTCTGGTGCTCCTCCTGCTGCAGCTTGCTGTTGCTGTCTGATAGCTCTTTCATCAGGCCGGCATACTCGGAACGCAACTTGTTTAGTTCGGCCGAATTCCTATCAAGCACACGTACATGACATGAAAATGCGTTTGTTAAGGGATATGTATGGGAAATTGCAGCAGAAGCATTCTACAAATAGCTTAGACTATTGTGTAACGAAAGATAAGGTAAAAAGACAATGAGGTGACTAAGAGAGATAGCTGGAATCACTATGCTTCACTACGCTGAGCATGAGAGATGTATGGAACTCTAGGGAGCGTGAACAGCTGTGTAACACTGACTTGCTCTCCATCTGGTTGGTGGCGGAGCTGACTGCGTCCCTCAGGATGCTGTTCTCTTGCTGCAATCGACTGATCTGGCCTTCCAGCTGCTCCCTCACCTGCTGAAACTACACACAATTAACAGTACTCCGTCTTCACCAACTCTCTCTGGAGTGCCAAAGAAGCTGCCAGAAGTTTTTTTCTTCACATTTTTGAAATTCCTCATTTCTTAAACAACACTAGCAGTTACCCAAGTGTTATCAAGTATAATACAGGCCAGTACTTGCTGTACTGATAATAGTTGAAATGTAAGGCTTCACCTTTATTTGCATTGTCTGGAGCTCTTGGTAGGTGCCCTGTGCTTTGACCTGCATACTGCCCAGTTCTTTCTCCATCGCTGCGCGTTGCTCCCTCATCATTGATTCCACCCTGTTTGTCTTCTGCTTCTCAACTTGCAGCTCCTGAAGCAAAGTATGAAGATAAATTAAGCATTTTACTGAACCAAGCGGAATTATTCCAGCATTACAGCGATTAAGTTGGAAGGAAATCAGTCATGTCACAATCATTAGGGGGAAAAAAAAAAAAAAAAAAAAAGAAAGAAAAAGATTGGACTCTAGACCTGACTGAGCTGTTTCACTTTGTCTTTGGCAATGGAGGCCTCCTCCTGCAGAGTTGTCAGAAGCTTTTCCCTTTCCTGGGCAGTCGGGTCAGGCCTAGTTGAGGACTGTCAGCAAAAGAGAACACATTTTAAAAGAAGGCATAGAAAGTCCAACTACAAACACTGGGTGGCCTGCCAAATGCAAACAGTGTGGAATGTTGTTTGTGACAGCACCCAATTCAGCTTATCTCTTATTAATCTCTCACCTTGTGCCAGGCGTCCACGGCATTAGGGCTCTTCTCTCGCAGTAGAGCCATCACACTGACGGCCTCTGCATCTGACAGAGCCAGGCTGGACAGACCGGAGAGCAGCTCCTTCAGTTTCACCTCTGTGTTCTCTGTTAAGGCCAGCAAAAACGAGAAACCGAGTTTAAAAGGGCTTACAAATATTTTGGGATTAAAAACTCACGCTTTCACCTCTTACCCTTATCAGTCTCGTTTTTCTGCTTCTTGCCAGACCCTTTGGATGGTGCGTCATCGTTATGGGCTGTCTGGTGGTTAGCAGAAGCTGCTGAGTCTGGCAAAATATGGGCTTCATCAACTGGATTTCAGAAAATACTCTTTATTAGATTTTGTCTTTAGAGTCTTAATAGAGCCAAATTCTTCAAATTTAATGTTATTAATTAATAACATAATATTTTATCATCATTACCATGATCAGTTTTCTGCTTCTTGGCAGAATTCTTCTTTTTGCCACTGGTCACGCTTTGAGTTGCACCATCTAAAACTTTGGTTTCAGCCACAATGGGAGCTTCTTTCTTGACAGTAGCTGGGGCCTGCTCCACTTTAACCTCTGTATGCTGCTCATCTGCTGGAAAGACAGGACGGCAAGTTCAGAAAACCTTCTCAGGTTGCCTTGATTTATTAAATAAGAATGCTCAATTATCATTAAAGTTACTGGCACAAATATCCAAACTTGAGAAAGTAGCAACTACAGCAATATATCTTCTCAATTTTACCGCAACTGCTGTAATTTCAAACAAATACTAACCAAATGAAACTGCTACTTGCAGTTCTCATGTTTTCTACAAAAAAAACCAAAAAAACAAACAAACCACAAAAAACAAAACTGCAACCATTTTAAACATTACCCTTGGTTACTAACCAGACTCCACTTTTTGTTTCTTCTTTTCCTTCTTTTTCCCAGAAATCTGGGGAGGTGTCTGAGCTTGAACGGGAGCCTGAACAGCTTGGATCTGGACCTGAACCTCACGTTTCGGTGAGGGTGTGCTGGACTGTTTGCTTGCAGCCAATGGTGCCTCTGTCTTGCAGCTGACTGGCTTGGAGCCGTTCACTTCTGGCTCCTCAGAGGGGGAAACTGTGGTGGCGGCGGCAGCAGTAGCGGCGGCAGCAGCAGCTTTGGCAGCCTTCTTCTCCTTCTTCTTTCTCTCTCTCAGACCAGTAGGAGCCTCTGGTGACACCGAAACAGGCACATAGGGAGTGGGTGTAGGTAGAGCAGGATCAGGGGTAGCAGCTGACACAGGTTCCTCCTCTACCTCCACAGTGGAGCTGTTGGCACCTTCAGCCACATCGAAATCCCGCAAATCCTCCTCTGACTCCCCCCCACCTCCGGTTCCTCCGCCGTTTCCCCCACTGGAGCTCTCCTTCTTCTTGCTCTTCTTCTTTTCATTCTTTTTACGGGGGTCTGGCTTGCTTGGTGGCAACTTGAGGTCACGCTTCTGCTTAGCAAGCACCTCATCGTAGGAGGTTTCTTTCATGAAGAGCCAGAAGAAGAGGAACATGAGGGCGATGACCAGTGAAGGGGCCAGGATGAGCAGGTACTGAGAGTCGTAGATATCCACCGCCATTCTGAAAGTGGACAATAACCCAAGAAAAACAAAACCAAGCTTAGTTTAGGAAACTTATCTTGTTCAATTTACACTTAATATTGCTTTGAAATTTTAATAGATAAAGTCTAATAGACTGATAAAGACAGCTAAATAGCAGATCCTGAGGGGATAAACTGCTCAAATATTGAAACTGATATAATGAGATTTATAGGATTTATACTCTCAGTAAGCTTGCTGCTGCTTCCCATCTAACAAGTCTGGCTGGTCTCTCAGCGAGCATATTAAGTTTCAGTCACAGGAGCCAGAGTGATGGCTGAATGTGACAAGTGAAGGGTGGATCCCTCACGAAGGCTAAGAAATTGCATTCTCACAGGCTAGCGCTTTTTCAGTCACACTGTAAAAAAAAAATCCCAGTTTATCTGCCTTTTGATTTTAATGGGGACTAGAATACGCAGAATGAACAACATGCTGCATTCACAAAGATTTGAAACTTGCAACTGCAAAAACAGACTCAACAGGAAACTGCTTACTGAGCTCACAGATAGGAGAGTGAAGGACAGAGCTATAGATCTCCTTGCAAACTGACATCTTTTTGAAAACAGAAAAGAATCCCGGTTTAATTCACTTGGACACTGAATTCACTATTCAGACCCTGAAACTGCATGCATCTTTACACAAACTCTTTGGTTATAGACCTCAGAACAGTGTTCAGACCTGATTCTCTAGGCAGAGTTCATGAGTGGAAATTGATTATGATAGGTGTACATAGGGGCTGGAGTGTAAGCACACCAGTAATGCTGAGAAGGTAGGAGAGGAGATTCTTCTTCTTCACACCCTGCCCCCTCTTAGCAATATGATCCAATTAGAAGACAGTCCCCCAGCCACACAGCTTAACGTATGTACACATGTGTAACTTGCGTACAGAGAGACACACCTGTGCCTAAAACACTGACTGTGAGACTCAACTTTGTTTGCCCTGGTTTAAAAGGGGACCAAATAGGTCAAGATCATTAGAAAGGCAACTAGGCTAAAAAGAAAATGGCTCACAGTGTCTTAAATAGTCACCTCCCTCTTTCAGCCCCCACAAGAATGACACGGTGGTTATTCTAAACTCATATCGGACCGGATTTGCAAGGGGCAAAAATACACCTACGTCCAAGTGTCACAGGATGAGATCTGCTGCAGCTGCAGTTCGGCCCCCGCCTGCATAAAGCCAAAAGAAGATGATGTTCCTCCACCCCAAACAGAGTTTACAGAGTCAAGTGGTCCTAAGACATCATCAGCTTTGCATCTGCCAAAGATATTTCTAGGAACTATGTGGTGAGTTTGAGCTGACTCCTCAAGGCTATGCAGCAAGAATAAACTAGCACAAACTGGCATTTTCCCCCCTAAATTTCCCCTTTAGGCTCCAGTTTTTCCTCCCTAGTTCATATCTTTTTCGCTTTAATCGCCCCGATAAGATGTTTTTGTCACATTCTTTGCAAATTTCCAGCAATGGCAGCAACTTTACTAAAAATAAATAAAAAACGAACCATTTTACAACATTGCTGCAAAGTACCTCTTGCAAATCAACACACAATGACACCACGTGCAAAACGGCGACTTATCACAAAAATTAAACCACCGTGTTTTGACAGTGGGGGTAAGTTAAGCCCTGGGTGACGGCAGCAGTATTGTGTCTAACAATGCAGAGTGGCAGCGACAGTGAGTGACCTGAAGTGCGACACAATCCCACTATACTCAAGATTTGTGGCAGCAATACAGCGTAGGAGTCACTGTTGTAGAGCAGACGTCTTTAGTAATTTGGATTAAGCAGATTACCCATGATAATACATTTAAGAATAACTTTCCACTGCAGGGCTTCCTGTGGACTGGCAGGCTTAGTATAATGTTGATACTGTTTCACTCCCTTCTCCCCTCCCTGCCTCGCCCAACCCTTCCCATTACACGCAGCACATAAAAACACATCAGGCTCATTATGACTACTATTTGATCCAATTTTGAAAAATTGTTTGCCTTTGAAACAGCACGCCTTTCCTGTGAACAAACTACAAGCTCCCCATTATGTAACATCTTTGAAACATTTTTTTTTGGGTCCAGTTTTTATTACATAACATTTTTACTTTTACTTTGACTCAAATACATCAGATTGTCTCATCTTAATAATTGATTGAAAATGGCTGTCTTATTCAACCAACCCAAGGACTGAATTCCTTCACACTCACAGAAAACATAAACGGTGTGCAAAGACATATCTGTGAAAGCATGCACCAAGATGTGGTCTTTATAAGAGATTTTACTCTGTGCTGGTCTTTTGTACTGGTATCTTATCTGTGACCTCATTAGAAAATGTGCCATTCATTCAGCGTTCAAGCTTTACACTTGAACCAATAAGAAAATATATTTCACAGTTCTGGATGAGACTGCCCCAAGCATTAACTACCTGGAACACACTGCAGGTTTTATATATTAAAAAAAAGGTCAAAACATGAAGAAGCCCTTTTAAACTATGTACTACAAACACAAGTTTCTAGTGTAAATAAAATCATTAACTTTCAGTTGCTGCTAGATCAGGAAATTGCTGATTGCATATTAGAGGACACTCCCATGCCAGAGTACATTATGTGCCAAAATAACTCCGCGTTTCTTCCTGGTATTTAAAGTGTGGGTGGGGTAAGCAGTATGAAGGTATGAGGCTTGGTTGCTTTGAGTCCCTAGCCTCAGACTGGAAGGTGCATGAGATTTTTTCTGTACGGCCTGAGGCTTGTTCCAGCATCAAAATGAGCCCGCAGGACAAAGCCCTCCCGGGTTATTGGCTCCCCGGAATCTAACCACTTGGCTGGCCAGCCCTCTTGATTTTGGCAGACATGGACACAGAGACAACTCCTGATAACTATCAGATCCAAAAAGCAATACAGAGAGTAATTGAAAATCAGGCCATGCATACATAATAAATGTATAATAGGCAACAAGTCATTTTAAAACACATCTATAGTCCAGGACACTACAGAAAAATTGAGCTTTTTTAGCAAGTGTGCAGTTTCTCTACAATACATTATATAGCCAGTGTAAGTTTAATAAACACTATGAAAAATGAAAACTATTTTTCTGGATCAAACCTACAGTAGAATGGTGGGGAGATGGCCAAATGAAAATGTGTTACAAAATGTAATTAAGTGGTAATAACATAATAAATTCATATAATCGTTATGACTGTAACGACTGTATCTGCAGGATTTTTATTTCTAGCAGCAAGTCAATGTTCACGACAAACTGTAGGAGGTGCACTAGCAGTCACTTTACCTTTATGTTTTAATGTTATAATTACTTTGAAATGATGAAGAACATCTTTGTAATGAAAAGAAAATTGCTTCTTTAGAGTGCGCCATTTTCAATTCAAGTTTAGTACAGGGTTACAGCAACAGTCACTTCAAGACAAAGACTTATTAGAGGGGAAATTCCAATGATTAGATGGTCTTCCCTGAGTAAGCACTTGGCGACAGCGGGAAAGAAGACCTGCTTTTCAACAGGAAGTGACATCTGGCAGTACTAGGGTCAGGAAGGGGCAATTTACAGGCCCTACCATTTGGAGAGTAAATGGGTAAGAAGACAGAAAAGAGGAGCACAAACCACAAACAAATGGGGGGTTAAAAATGGACCACTGTTTTTTCTACTTCCTCCACCATTGTCTAATAAAGTAAACTCTTGAGCGTGGGGGGGGGGTTTTTGCCCTTCAAAGGAGATGCCATTATATCAACCTCATCTCTACATGTCATTTGTATTTTATTTACATGTTTTGTGTCTGTATTCTGATTTATAATAATTGCATAGATTAGCTAGACTGTTGTAATATGTTGTTTTATTCTTAAAATTTAAGAAATATCATATTCACCAACAACACCTTTTACCCACAAAGAGTCTGATAGTCAGGCAATTAAAATAATCTACCTTAGATTTATTGTTAAGTCAAATGGAAGTTGGCTCTCTCTGAATACTGACATTCATCTTTATCAATCTTCTGGCAATAAACTACAGAAAGTACCAAAGTACACAGTGACTGTGGTTTTGGTTTTATTAGAAAACATTAACAAAAAAGTTATCTGCAAGGATATGATCCTGCCTGTCAGGCTTTATCCAGGAAAGTATGTCAACAGTAAAACACTTCAGATTAGAACCCATCTACAGACAGACCTCAAAGAAACTAAAACGAGCACTGTTGTAAAGCAAAGCTAACAATGCTTTCATCAAAAGAGAGAGGGAGCTGAGGCATAACCCTAAAGGCTTTTTAAAATAGGGGCAGTGAGGTCTTGGAAGAAATCTCAAGCTCCTTCAGAGACGTACTTTAGTTTTGTGTTTACTTAGTGAGTAAAAGTCAGTTTAACAAAGTCTCACTTTTCAACAGTAACGTGTTTGGTCACGATCCCCATTATAATCCCTTCTTATTGTGCTTGCCAGCACCTAAACTTGGTGATATAGCCCCGAGTCACCTCAACATTCACCAGCTGAGCCCTAAATGTCCCAGCATGCTAGGTCATGCCACACGTAGCATCGTGGGCCTTGTGCTGACTAGTCAGCAATGGCAGCTATTCTTACACTTAGAGGAACACTGTCAATGATCGCAGCATGTAATCACAAAAAAAGCAGAAGTGGCCTAAGCTCCTTGTCAAGCTAGCCCAGCTAGGTCATTTATCACACGTCATACTCAAACAAACCACGAAAACGAAAGAAAAGACAACACATGTCACAAAGATGACTTCCCAGAATGACGAGCAAAAATGTCCAACTGCTGGACATTAACTGTGTTCCGGCCACGGTCATAAACAGTTGCTACTGTGTATAAATCCATGAGCGAAAAGAGCCGTCACCACTTTTTAAGTTCGACTCAGTGGCTATAGCTCAACACTATGAATGGGCTAGCTAACTAGCAAACTAACGACAGCAAGGCACTAGCCTTAGCTGCCCAATCCAATTAGTACAGAGGCGACAGAACTGACCACACAAATGTTAGCCGGAATACTTTGACTCTCTTTCACACTCTCTGGAGGGGTGGACATTTGCCCACACGGGCCTCATTCCTCCTCAGATCCTAGCCTCCGTCTCTCTTGAAATCTCTGACCCGTCCCCATCCTTCCGTTAAAGTCCTGAGGGCCGTTCCCAGGCCTACGTGAAGAGCTAAGCTGTGCTAAGTACGGGATGAGCAGCTTTTTTCACAAGAAACGAATAGAAGATTTCCAGAAACAGCCGCTAGAAATACCTGTAGCTTCAGTTTGCTGTTCCCTTAGCTAGTAGTGAAATGGCGTTGCTCTGCGTTGACACCAGCACACTCCTGCCTTCCCAGGGCAGCTCCAACCCGGCTTTCTTCTGCGCTATCCGTCACAGAGAATCTGCTGTTTCTGGTTCGCGGGGGCGGGTCACAGTCAGCCTGCTAAGGAGCGTTCATTTTGAGACTCGTGGCACACCGAAGGCCACATGTCATCACATTACAAATAATAAGTAAAAAGTACCGCCCTTTCGAAACATTCTTGGCTCGTAAATCTTACGATACTGAAAGAGGTGTGGTCCAGCGCACTTCCCCAAAGTCTACAGACCAGAGTACTATAATTGTATGACAAGTTCCAGCAGATCTTTGCTTACCATTATGGCTTACGGCAATATTTATGTAATTGTAAACTAAGAGAGTGAGATGTTATTAACTTAATGCACATTCTGCTATGTTTTACTTTGCATTAAAAATCACAATCACAACAAATTTACACAGAAACTATTTATTATGACATCGTTTATAAAAACATTTGTATATCTGTTTATGTCAGATAAGGTCATCTTTAAACTCAGGGTGTCATGTCGAGATCACAGACAAAAAAGAAAGTGTATAAAAGCTCCTCCATGCTGAAAGGCTTAGAGTCAAGTCACTGCTCCTCTGCATCCACTGCTTGTCCTGCAGTCTGAAGCTCTGCCTCATACTGCTTCTTTAGCCCTTTCAGATACATCCGCAGGCTATCGGGGTCTAGTCTTGAGTTTCTAGCAGTCTGAAGCAGGCGTGTGGAGAGGTGGTACACAGCTCGCTGCCTCTGAGTTTCTGGATCAGTGTGATGTCTAGCCTGAAAGAATAAAACATGTTAGGTCTTCTCTTTTTATCCAGCAATTCTCTGAATTCTCTGGTTATTATCAATGAAATACATATTTAGCCATGATACAGCATTTGTCTCTCAGTGTCTAACGCTGGCTTTCTGTTGATTATAATTTGTAATACTGTGGCACATAAATGGGACCTTCCATATAAGCACAGGTAAAAATGAACTGTTAATTTTAAAGGCACAGAGAAGACGTTGACGACCCAAAGATGTTAGGACAAAAAGTCAATAACTGAACTTTCTAAACCATACCAAAAACTGCTGGCTAACTTTTGAAGCAATTGTCTTTGCCTCTTGAATTACGCTTGAAGGAAGGGCTGTCATTTCTGCTGCTCTCAGTCCTAGAAAAACAAAAACAAGCTCTGTGACTGATTCCATGAAAAATGCCAACAGGGCTGTTGTTGGATTTTACTGACTCTGTACCATAGTGTCTTTCTTCAGAAGATCCTCGATTCAGCAAATATGTGTATACCACGCTCTCTGCACCAGTGTCACCACTGCGTGTATGCTGAATCTGCATGTGCTGGTTTTCCACGTTCGGGTACAGAGACTCCAGCTGGCACAGCTCAAGGAAGTGTGTAGCAAACAGAGTGAACGCCTGCAAGAAAGAGGACACACCTTGAAAATTAGGAGAATGCCCAACCTCTTTGTTGGTTCTACTGTTCCACTGTTGATCTAACAGGTGTAACAATAAGTTATAATAAATTAAGTAGCTAATATGGTGCATAAGAACCGGAACCATCTGGTTTTCAGTTTAGAGAAAGGAGTGGTGATGCAGGGCTGTATTAGGGCATACTCTACCTTCAGGCCAAGGAGGAACTCGCAGACTGAGTGACAAATACCAATCCCTTCCTCAGCACTGGTACCACGCCCCAACTCGTCTATAATAATCAGGGACTTGTCACTTGCATTGTGGATTATGTAAGAGATCTTTTGGACAGACACACTCAGTTAATTACATATTAATGATCTTTTTGATTGATGTTTTTTGTTTTGTTTGCTCAAATATAACTTAGGAATGTGTACCTCCTTCATTTCTAACATGAATGTGGAAGAGTTGGTTTCAAAGTCATCATCTACACCAATTCTGGTGAAAATCTGATCAGCAATACGAAAACAAGCATACTCAGCAGGGACGAACGAGCCTGAAATAAAAACAGTGTTGAATTAATGCACAGAAATGACCAGGCCTACATTTAAAATTCACATGGGGAAGGTGGGTTTATAACTTCCTGCTGACCTATCTGAGCCATGATCTGACATAGCGCCACCTGTTTGAGGTAAGTGGATTTGCCACTCATGTTGGGTCCTGTTATGATGACAAAGTTGCTGCCCTCAGAGATGTAGCTATTGTTCGATACGGGCTGCTGTCTGCCAATTCGCTCCAGAATTGGGTGACGGCCCTGTTTGATGGCCAATGTGTCTGTAAACTCTGGACGCACTGGCGGACAGAACAGAAAAACACAAATAAATAACTCTGTTTACATACTGAGCCTTACATTCATTTCTAATGTTTGGTGAAAAAAACACACACACACGTGCCATCTATAAAATTATATTTATATACACCATTTATTACTCGTTCACTTAAAGGTGTCATAACATAGTAACACACCGATTTCTGCTAGAGGTAAGGCAGTTAGCTCCTCTGCTGGGTAGATTTGCCTCGGTATGTACAGCACATCAGTGCGCAGTTATGTAAGACGGGTAATCTGAGTACAAGCTGGCTGGGATAGAAAGGGGGCAGGCAGTCAGCACGTGTCTATAACGAGACACTTTCAGACAGCTGAGGGCCAGCACTCACCACCCACATGGCTGATTGGGTTGGTGCTGCCCACGACAGACAGAAAAGAACTAAGGCCAGCAGAGCTGCCAGCTCAGTAGAGGCGCTTCTGGCTGTCATGTGTGATGATGGCTGGGTGCTGCCTTGTGCAGCACACAGCACACCTTTAGACAACAGTTCAGGCTTTGTCATGGTTAATATGACAGTCTGACTGACTTGAGAGCTGGAATCAACAGTGATTCATGCTTACCGTAGTCTGAGATGGTGCATGCATTTGCCAGGGACAGCAACATGTCCAACATGGATAGAGCATCAGAGAGCTTATAAAGGCAGTGAATGTGCTCATGGATAGTTCTCAGCAGCTGGCATATCACCCTGTATGGAGACAGGTTACATGATTCAGGGAAATAAAAACTGAACTGAACAGAAACTATGGCTAATAAACAGTGCCCCCTAGTGGACAGAGAGTACAACAACGTTTAATAGATATGTCCTTAAAAGCATAATTAAAAACAGAACTTGGCCACGGAGAAAAATCTACATTCCCCAGTTTATTGCATGAGTTGAATAATTGGTTTTAAAGGAGTTAAGTAACCCCTTAAATAACATCAACTGGTAAAGATCAGTAAATCAGATCAAAGTTCTGCAATTACAATACTGTGCAAAAGTCTTGACTCAACCCTTATTTCTTCATATTTTGCTTCCAAAGAGCCAAAACTTTCTGTAATTTTTCTTTTATTTGTCTTGAGTAATAGCTCTCCAGGCTTTCTGAAGGTCTTTCAAAGTTTTTCTTTGGACACTGGCTGATTTTTCACAAATTTTCTTTCCAGTCCTTGTACTTGACCATTTTCCCACGAATATTGTTTTGCTTGTTAAGCGACTTATGGCTGATCTATGAATCATTTAAGCATTAAAAAGGATCTAACGCTTAGCAAAGAACCCATTTTAAATTGTATATTTAGAAACTTTGTTACTGACAGCCTATCACAAAAGACATAATTTATTCCACTGTCTTTAGGTGAATCTATAAAATTGCCAAAAATAATAAAGTTTTACAATGTAAAATACTTTTGCAGCAACAAGGTGATTCTCAAAAGGCTAAAACTTGGCACATCTCAGCATGGTGTGCAGTGTGTCTTTGATAATGAACTTGATATAAAATTTGATAATGAACAAGTGAAAACAAACGAAATGGCCTAAAAGACTATCTACAGCAGATAAACAGTATCTGAAAGTTGAGTCATTATAAAAAATTGGGAAAAATTCACCAAAGACCCCACACAGGACCTCAGAGATGCACCTGGACCTTTAGTTGATCCCTCTACTGTTCAATGACGCCTCATCAGAAATGATTTCAGTGGCTGTTAAGGAGCCATCATTAATGAAAGAAAACAGGGAGGAAAAGAACGAGGTATGCTTGAATATCACAGGATTGCACTGAAAATTGGTGGCGACAGCTCTTATGGAGAGTTTAACCCAAATTTAAAAGTTTTGGCTCTAACTTTTAGTTTTCTAGCAAAACAAAGAAATGAGGGGCAACTCAAGACTTTTGCACAACACTGTACAAAACTGTAAAACTGCTAAGAACAGTCATGCCACAAAGCTATATGCCTTTACCTCAATTTTCTGTTCATGTTTGTAAGTCACGAGATAATGATCAACTTACACATAAGATATGTGAAAGATTTCCCTCAGGGCCTCCTCACACCGGCTGTTCTTCTTCATCAGGTCTGCAGTGGTGAAGCCATAGTTGTTCTTGTGCTTAGTTACCTGAGGTGAAAAGATGTTGAAATGCAGGTTTTTCCCTCTTCATTCAATGTCAACCTTATTGTCCCACCGGCGGCAATTTAGCTTCCTTTATTAACAACTAATGCTGAGTTCGATTTTTTGCTAAAAGTCTGGCTGCCTTCAGTGGACCTTACTTTGATGAACTCTGAGGGGAGTTTCCCTTCTGGTAAGGTTAGTCCTTCAAGCTTCAGCTGGATGAAAAAACCTCGAGCTGTGCTGAAGCTAGTACGCATTGGCAAGCCGTATTTTTCCCCCAGCTGGTTCACAAGCTCTGTGCAGCACAATGACATGAAGCTTGGCTAAAGGTAAGAACAGATTACCTAAACATCGCAAGACAAAGTTATCTGGTAAACACTAAACATTAACACCTGCAATGTCGTCCACTATCTCAGTGTAAGCTTTCCGGGCAATGTCAAGAAACTTGTTGATGTTCGGGCGCACAGCGTAACACTTCTGGGTGCGCATTTTAAAGCTATCTTTGATGTAAGTTGTGTCATAATTGATCACAGTCTTGATCTGCTCCAGTATCATGTCAAACCTGAGGCAGACATAAATGTACACAGTGGAATGAGTCTGTAGACAGGAGATTGTAACTAGCAAATTCAGTTCATCGTACATAAGCACAAAATTTACAACCTGTTATCCTCAAGTGTTGTACGATATGCCTTGAGCAGAGCTGTGTTCCGGTTCTTCAGCAACATCTGTTTAAATGGTATAACACTTTAACAAAGACTCAGTATTTGCATTACAACTAAGTCACAATTAGCTTTTAATGAATTAATTGTTTTCTTATTCT